AAAAAAAAAACCACACACAGACAAAAAAAAAATTAAACCAACAATCTTTTATTAAGTTGTGCGGGACCAGTGGAACGGGCATGCTAAAAACTTGATCGTCAGAAATTAGATGATTCTCTTTCACGTTGCTGGATCTTACTCTGTCCCTTGGTTATTTCTATTTCTGTGTAATTGTTTCCGACTTTTCACGTGCAGGTATGCACCAAAAGGGAAAAGAATCAAGTGTTGCTCTCCTTACTGCAGGTGGATTCACCTGAATCTGCCATAATTTTTGTCAGCGAGCAAGTTAGTGTCTTTAACCCTGTTGAGTCTCGATATAGTAGATTGACTTTGTGTGTAGTTACTAGTTATAACTTATAATGACAGGGAACCTTAATTCCTTGAATAGTGTGATCAATATTCAATTATGATGTTGATCACTTTCAAGTATTGAGACCCCTCTTTATTCATAGTCTATGAAAGCACACACAAGAATTACTCTGGAATTAGAGGTTGGATGAGTTTCCAGATTAATAGGGATGGCAACTGGGGCAGGGCGGGGAAGGGCAAGCCTTAACCTGCTAAGATTTTGACCCGCCCTGCCTGCCTGCCCCGTTTATCATTTTTTTTAAATTTTGCCCTGCACTGCTAAGCCCTGCCCCGTTTATGTTTTTTCCTTCTGCATTGGGGATATAATCCTCTATCCACTGATGTATATAGGCTATGACCTGAGATAGGCCTATTTTTGAATTTCAAGAGTTTCATCACTATGGTATGAAGGGCGTAAAAGCTGATTACATGAGAACAAATTGAATAAAAAAAGTAATGACCAAAAAAGCTGAATTAAAAAGCTAATTTACTCTAGGCGCTAGTGAAACCCGCAAAGAGGTGCTGTTCGAAGTAAACCATGAGAATTGAGCTAAGTTAAATCCCATAAGCTAAATTATAAAATAGACCATGCTATTTCAGAAATAATTATTATACATAGTTGTTTTGGTTTGTTTTAAAACTATATAAACCATGAAAACTGCAATACGATTTTCTCCAAAAATTAGCTTTTTGTAAATAACCTATGAAGGAAAGGATTGGAAACTGAACGAATTATTACTCAAGTTAAAATATTTTTAAATTATTTTCACCAGGTTGTTTTCACATGGTTATTAATTCAAAATAAGAAAACGTATTAACTGTTTTCACAGGTTATTTTCAGCTCCAGGTAAAATAACCATGAACCTAACTACCTAAGGGGAAAAAATTACTTCATACAGCTATCACCATTTTTCGCATTGGCATTTTATTTCTTTTTATATATACATACACAATTTCTTGCATAATCAAGGGGTTCATATTTATTTACGAAATAAAAATGAAGGAAGAAGACATAAGCAAGGAACGAATTGGCCCTCAAGCTACCGAGTTACCTAGCAGCCAACTATTGGGAATAAGCGTTGACCTGCCACCTGCCCTGGCCTATTAAAGTTATACACCTGTATATAACCCTGACTCTTATTTGGAATTTATCAGCGCCTTAGCCTTACAATAGTTTTTTTGTCATTGGGCTAATATTTCCCTTTTTTTGTAACCTATGCATCCCCTGGATGCTTCTTGTTAATGAAATACAACTTATTTCATCAAAATAAAATTAAAGTTTTTCAAAAATTAAGTTTTGCCCTTCCCTGCACTGCCCCGCCCCATTTAACTGTTCCCCTGCCCTGCCCCATTAAGTGTTTTCCCTGCCCCGCCCCAATTGCCATTCCTATTCCGGAATGATCTTGTAGAGAATGACAGTATTGAGTATTCTCATCCCCCTGCACCAGAAGCTGGAAAAAAGTTTTCACTTTGCTGGGTTACATTTGGACTTTCATGAAGACGGTTTTTATGCTTCCTTTTACTCGTTTTTCTAAATGGGGTTTTATTTGGGGAACTACATAGAACTTCTAAATTTCATTATGGGAATGCACATATATATAGTAGTTTCCTTTCAACTGCATGTATTGTTTGAACTTGTAAAGTTCTTAAAAGTTCCATGTTCCCTTTTCCTTCTGTTATGCTTTGGATTTATACACTCTTTAACATCACAAGGAATCAGACATTCAAAGAAAAATCAGCTGTTGGTGCATCACATGTCTAATTGAATGGAGTTACTGTTTTCACTTGGAAAGGAACTATGGTCATAGATAAAAAAATGACTTACTTATCTGTGCAATTTTTGATATTTTAGTTTAACTTATTAAATAGTTGTATACTTTGAACAATATTGTTTAACTTTTGAGCAGTCTGAGAAGTCAAAAAAGGCAGGAAATGCACCACCAATAACTCTTTTGGTAGATTTTTTAATGTCATCTTCTGGAGGCTTTTCCAATGTCTCTCTTCTAGAGGAAGATATGAATTTCAATAAACGAGCAGCATCCTTATCTGTAAGTTGTGCTGATATGTTATTTATATTTGGTCAATTTATCATTTTAGACTATAGGAAATGGAAATTTAATCTAGTGTTTTAAAAGGCGTGGGCGTAAGGCGAGGCGTTTTACATATGCCTCAGCGAGGCGTTTTATATATGCCTCAGCGAGGCGTAAGCCCCGAGGCACGAGGCGTAAGGCCCATATGTATTTAATTTTTAATATTTTATAAAATTATATAATTACAGTCGAGGGTCTATTGGAAACAACATCTCTATCCTCACAAGGTAGGGGTAAGGTCTGCGTATACACTATCCTCCCCAGACCGCACGGTGGGGGATAATACTGGGTATGTTATTGTTGTATATAATTACAGTAATATTTATAAACAGGTAAAATTGCATAAAAATTGAAGAAAACTATAAATATGTGGAATATATAGATATATATATATATAGATGTGCTCCATCCCCACAAAAAACTAGTCAAAATAATCTATTATACGCTACTTACAAGCACAGGTAACTTGAGTCGAAAAGAATAAAGTTTTCTATATGGAGGAACAAAAAGGATGACTAACCCGCAATTTGAACTTGCTGCTATGAATGAGAAAAAAATTGAATATTCTTTGCTTTTGGGAGAGACTAGCGGACAAAATAAAGAATTGGGAAAGACCATGAATTAGGGCTTCAATCAATAAAAAAAGGTCTTGACTTTTAAATTTAATACATTTCAGTTCCTTTTTAAAACTTTTGAGTAATTACAAGTCGATTTTTGAGAATATGGGTATTATATGAAGGACTTATTCAACAAATTTTATTTTAATTTGAAAAAGTCTCTGGGGCTTACGCCTCACTATAAAAACGCGCCCCGAACGCTCGGGCGTATGCCCCGAATTGTTGGCCGTACGCCTCTTGAGACTTTCGCCCCACACTATTGCCTCCGGGCGTTTTTGGTGCGCCTTGCCCCAGGACTCGCCCCGAAAACGCCTTTTAAAACACTGATTTAATCTTCGTCTTTCTGCCATAATGTAATTCATATTTTAGTACATGGCTTATATGTTGCTGAGACACAGGAACTTCGAGGAGGAGGAGGTTATCTATTGGTGGCAACAGATATAGCAGCTAGAGGAGTTGATCTACCAGAGACAACACATATATACAATTTTGATATCCCAAAAGATGCGGTAAATTACCTTCATCGAGCTGGCAGGACTGGTAGGAAACCATTTTCAGATAAAAAGTGTTTTGTTACCAGCATTATAACAGTGGAAGAGCGGTTTGTGTTACAAAGATTCGAGAACGAATTAATGTTTTGTTGTGAACAGCTATTCTTTTAACTGTATTTTGAGTTCTTCTCCATAATCTTAGCCTCAAAAATCACCTTTGACTCTGTTGCTTATTTTAAAACGAAGGACAAGATAAATAAAAAGCTGATACCACCAATTAGAAAGTACATTAGTCCCTTTGCTTTTCGTAACTTCTAAACAGCTGCGTAATTTTATTAATTTAAGCAAGACATTTGCAAGGTCAACTGGTAAAATGTTATAATTGAATGATTATCTTCGAGTGCTCTTTCAAAAGTGTTACACTAAGTTCCTTTATCTTTTACCCAAATTGTTAACTACCACCTAAACTTTCAGAGCTATGTTGGTAAGGATCCAGTAAACAGGTGAGAAAACAGAAGAAAGATTTGAATAATGCTGCGATCTAGTGAAACACTGTACAGGTGTTTTGATGCATTTAAGTGGTCTTACCTGTAAGTCAACTTTTTTATCCTTCTTTAGTTCTGACCAGAAGAAGCCTGTTCTCAACTAGTGTAAAATATTCCTGTCAACACTCCAGTGTTTTGTCAATGTCATTGCGGGCTGGTTTTGTGAAAACATTTACCTTATATCAAGCATTTTATTGTTAGATCAAAATTCATGAATGGGATAAACAACTTTTATTTTTAGCATTAGCCTGTAGTTCAACCTTTACTTGCTGAAAGTGGACAAGTTGAGAATGTGAGACTTTTACTTCTGCTCGTATTTTAATTTCACAACTTTCTCTGTGTCAACACTACATGAAAGAAAAGAAGATAAATGATTACTGCAATTCATATCACTAATCCATCTGAAATTGTTGAGTTCTTCAATATGACTGTTATGCCTGATCGAATGTAAAATCCTTCTGAGGATCTGTCTGCTTCTTGTACTCCCTGCAAATTGATGTATTAGAGGAAAATAAGTGAGTCCCAGTAAGAACAGGATAAAATTGAAATAAAAATTTAATCTCTTGCTGTTGGTGGGAGTACGGGAGGATCATACCTCTGAGTTGGCAATAACTACGTTCTTTCCAATTCTTGCATTCTTATCAATGATGCATTCTCTGCATATTAGTTAAATAACAACGTGAGAAATGAAATTAGGATCACAGTCACATCCAATTTCTAGCCTGATAGACACAAAAGGAGAGAAACATCTTAGTGTTTTACTTTATTCTTGTATTTTCTCCTATTCCAATAGGCACTTTTCCTTCAGCTAGTTGTGAGGCAATCTCAGCATCAGTTTCATAGTAGTCAGCACCAAGCATCACTGTATCCTGTATGGATTTCACACCAACTAAGTGTTATGAGGAATTAGCAGCAATTGCAAAATCAAGTAAGCAGAGAAGTAATTTTTTTGATAAGGTAAATAATTTTATGGGACACCTCGTATACAAGCCGTATACCAAAAAGAAGAGAACATATACTAAACTACGGTTCTCAACAAGTTTGCAATTTTACAAAATCTTGTTCCACCCCTTCAAATGCCCTCCTATTTCTTTCTTTCCAAATAACCCACATGATTGCTAAACGTGTTTGCATGGGTATGTGCTACTTGTTATTTCAATATGAAACAGTATGTTTGTTGAATCTACGTGGAATCTAGTTGGAAAACCAATTTTAGTTTTGTTTTTCAAAAGCATAGTGCTGAAATTTCATTCAGCATAGTGTGCAGTTGTATTAGACTAACCTTCAAGTGAACATTGGAGCCTATACGGGATCGGATTCCGACAACACTGTGCTCCACGAAGCAATTGGTCAAGAAACTACCATGTGATACAATTGAATCAACAATCTGACAACATTTAGACTTGGTTAGTGGAAGAATATTTAAAGATAAATCTGCTTAAGATTGAAGTACTATGTCCTTGTCTTAAACCTTGCTGTTATCAATAGCTGAGGGTGGTAAGTTTCTCCTTGATGTGTAAATAGGCTTTGTTGCATCGTAAAAACTAAAACTTGGTGGCTGAAATGAAAAGGAACAACATTAGTTGGCCATATGCCATATTATGTACTGTAAACAATCATGTTTAAGATTTTCAAATGAGATTGACAGGTGTCCAATAGCCAGCTTTTATCTTACTCAGATTGTTTGAAGAAACAAGACCATTTAAAGGCTAAAAACATATAGTTCTGATTCTTACGTGTTCAGTGAGTGCAAGGTTTGCTTCAAAAAAGGATCTGATTGTACCAATATCTTCCCAGTAATCATTGAATAAGTAAGCCTGCAAAATCAGATGAAGAATGCTTTAGTCACCATAGAGGTTGAAGTTAAGCTGTTTAGGAGACCATAACCAGTATAGTGAATTGAAAAAACATTGAATGTCTTTCCTTGTGATGGAAACAACAAGATTGGATGTAGTAGTAAATTTTTTGAACAAACAGATCAAGATCTTGTATCAATGCCAACCAGAAATGAAGTGGTACAAACCTTGACACAGAATTCTTTGGCAGAGGCAGGAATAATCTCTGAACCAAAGTCATTTGCTGTCGGAAAACGCCATCTAAAAGAAGACAAAGAGTAAGCAGTTAATGATCTTCTTTTACCTGATATCTTCAGCATGTTACTGTAAATGAAGCATGAAGAAACTCAATGTTAATATAAGATTTTATATGGCCTCTTTCTGTTTTATAATAGCCACCACAATTTGCTTCTTTTGAACGTAGCTACCCCTATTAGCTGGATGAATATGGTTTCTTGGTTTTTCTGGCCCTCTTTCTCCAAAATTTCTATCATTTGCATGTATGTTGACCATGACACCCTCTAAAATAAGGTACTATAGAAGAATCTCGTTACATACCTTAAGAGATTCAGGAGAATCTCCTTCTTGAAGACGTAAACTCCCATTGAAGCAATGTAAGGTTTCTTTTTAGCCTCTTCTGGGGATAATCCCAGAACAGATGTGTCTACTGCCTGAAGTACTTGTTGTCAATTGATTGCAGCAACTTTAAAATTTGAAGTAGATTAAGCTCTGAGACTGTCAAATTTTCGAGAATTACCATCGCCTTCAAGTCATCTCCTTTTGGCTTTTCGCTGAAGGATAGGACCCGTCCTGTGTCATCAATTTTCATCAAGCCAAAATCTGAAGCACGTCTATCATGAAAACATAGGAGTGATTCAGTAGAAGAAATTATGTTTTGTAGTGATTATCAAAGCAATATTTGACATAGCATGCCATTGCTGAGAGGAAGAAATAGCCTATCTATGATTTTGATTAACCCTCTTAAACTACCTGTCGTCTATTGGCAAGCTTGATATGGTAATGTCTGCACCACTTTGCCTATGACTCTGTCAAGAAGTGGAGATGGATTTTTTCACTTTTGAGTAATAGACAATCTTTCCAAAAAAAAGATATCAAGCAAGGTATATATTAGTCTATAGCCTTACCTGAACAAAGTCCATGTAGTCCATTCTATACAAGTGATCCCCAGAGAGAATGAGCACATCTTCAATGTCCTTGCTTCTTGCATCCTTTAGTTATGAAAATCAATGTGAATTTCATTAACTGATGTCTACAATTAAGCCATATGATGAGATAATTGTGGTAATGGTAATAGCTGAGCGTGGAGAACATATTGCTTGTATTTGCATGCTGTTAAGTTCTGTATTTTTCGCATGTGATTAAGTTTTCCTGGAAGTAAACTGACACAGCTCAGTTAACTTGGTCTTGCATATGTAATTTTTTTCATTGTGTAAGTTACTGCTGGACCACCTTGTTCGGTCTAAGGTTGATTTGTGGTCATCTACAGCTGAAGTCCCTGATATAACATATGAATATATGCATTTCGATGCCTCTTCATCAATTGTTACATATTGAAGAAAATCATGGGAGGAAGAGTATATTGATACGAACTGATATATGAATATCAGGAAGATAAAAATGTTGCAGTGCAGGAATCTGGAGTTATTTTCACTATTGGGATAAACTATGGAAATTGCAACGCAATGTGACCACGGGATCAGATACAAAGGAGAGTGCATACCTCAAAAAGCCAGTGGAATTGCCTAACAGCATCTGCAGTACCTAGGAACCATCTTTTCCCTGCTTCACCTGGTGTTTGAGTTGCTGCTAAGACCTGTGTTACAATTTACCAGCCATGATGTTGCCAATTTCATCAAAACCTGAAACTATATTGGAAAATAAAGATTGGTGTTTACCTCGACATAGCCATCTCCGAATGTGACACCATTGCCAAAGTTGTAAGCCCGAGCAATATGTCTGTTAAGCGAGGCAGAGTTGAATTGGGTGAGAATGTAAACTTTGTTGATGCCACTGTTGATACAGTTGCTCATTGGTACATCAATTAGCCTGTATGCTCCTCCAATTGGAACCTGAAACGAATTAATAGTGACTCAATGTGTTGAGATGTGGATAGCTCTACAAAGACTCAGTAATATTTTCTTTGATAATCTGAAGAAAACTTACAGCAGGCTTAGCACGGCGCTTGGTGAGGGGGAAAAGACGAGTTCCAGCTCCCCCTCCTAGAATGATTGCTACTACAGTCCTTGTATCAGTCTTCTCCGGTTCAAGATCCTTTAACTGTCCACATTCCACACTCGGTCAAACTAAGCATTGTTCTAAAGTTAGTGTAGTTCAGAGATGAATTCAAGATTTAAGTTATTTTTTTATTAAATACTAACACACACTACTAGATAATGATGATAGATTTGAAACTATCATAAATGTTGTATTTCAAGTTGAGGGTAGTGCGATCACATCTCTACGTCTGATTAGTTTAAGTTGTTTTAGCATGATGTCTTCAGCTCAAATTAGTGCCATTTTTGCTCATTTAGCCTATCTCATGATTATGTCAACTTCATTGACGGAACTTATGAAATTAATTCATGACGTATCTATCATTTGATCTAACTTGGTAGTGAGATCACATTTTATGTTGAGAAGTGGCCCATCTCTTTATTAAGTAGTCCCATGCTCATTCAATTGTAAAGAAAGCAAAGAAATACATGGCAAGTTTGAGCCATGTGAGAAAATCTAGAACCACTCACCTTGGCCTCACCTGCAACATCAGCTGTAAGTGACATGCAGATATTTGGCTTCACTACATTGCTCCTTAACTGAAATTTTGTAAACTTGAGCTTCTTTCCCATCAACTCTCCATTGCAGAACTTCACTACCCTTAAGTTTCTC